ATATATATAACTAAATATATGATTGTGAATTTGAAATCTGAATTTGAGGAATAAATCCCCTTTATAATGGTAATTTTTTAATCATTTTCCGAACTAACCTACCGTATTATAAGGAATCTAAAATTCTCAAATAATTAAAAACTAAAATAATTATTGTACGGTCTAAATATGCAGTTTTGATTGAATTAAAGCAGTTACCGTAAGATCCAGAAAATATACATACACATATTATAATAAGAAAATAATAATAATTTCAAAATCAGTATAATAAACTGGGGAAATTCTATTAATATCATAAAAGTTAATTTATGATTAAATAGGATTGTAGGTGAATTCGTTAGAACCTCTTGGCAAAAGAAGTAAATAGGTTAAACTTTCATTAAAATACTTTTTTTTATTAAAGATTTAATAAGGATTAAAACTGTTATGTAGCTCAATTTATAAAAGTACGAGAATGATTTAGGGTTTTTGGGTTCAACTTTGAAATAGTGCAAATATTGAAATATTTACTTTTGTATGCTATTAAAATTATTTAAGTGGAAAGTTGAATAATTAAAAATGTATATTTGAATGTTGAATCAATTGTTAAAGTTGGATTAAAATTCAGGTAGTGGCTTGTTTATAGCTATGCTCTAGGAAAGTTAATTGTGTTGGGAATCAAAGGTATGTATTTAAAGCAATTTACTTTTGTTATTTTGATGGTGTTAAATGTCACCTTATTTGTGTTTATTAACTGTTTCGGTAAAATTGATATGTATGATCTGTGGTAGGTGTAATTAGGTTGGATTTATCCGTTTTGTCAACCGTATTTGACAGCCATAATAACTGAGTAACAACAACACATAAAAACATATAGGGTAAATTAGAGATAATATAAACATTATTTGTTTTAAGTAATAAAAAGAAAATATCCTATCAATTCAGAAAATAACTGCATAATCTTAACAAATCATACAACATACATTCAAACATATTTATTCTTATAGTTCATTCATATACCAACAAACATAGATGTAATTAACCTCTAGAAGACCATATTATTAACTAATATCTTGAAACTTTGCACCTATTATTAATCACTTATGTCTTTTTATAGCTGTAAATATAATTTAAAAAAATATATATAATTTTATAAAAACGATGTTACAAAATTATATAGTGTTTATTTTAAAAAGGAAAAAGTATTTAGTTATTTAAAAAAAATGTTCAATGACTAATTTTATTAAATTAATATCTAAATTCTTTTTATTTATCAAAGAATAAAATTGTTTAATTAAAAGATAAACCAATACATATTCCTTATATGATATAAGTGCAACTACACATGTGTATTCACAAATATTTTTATGATAATAAAAAATAATAAAATTATTATTATTTATAATATTATTGTAAATAGTTTTTATTTATTTTGTAATAAATTGTTGAAAATTTAAAAAATTCATAAAAAAACAGTTAAATTTCATCCTGACTCGAATTTGATTTATTTTTTTTAAGTTTTGAAAGTGAATTTTTCTTTCAATAACATTCATCAAGAACCATTTAGTCATTTGTGAGAAGATAAACGCTCGATATCTCTCGGTAACATAATGCTCAAATACTCCTCAGCGTCTTGTCACATGGTATAAAATCAACGCTCCAAATTTCAAATTTCAGTAATATATCACTCTAAGACTCCTCGGCGAATTACGATAAAAACAGTTGTCACGAGTAACTAATTCAAGTAAAAAATCATTTAGATAAAAACAGTTGTCCTTAAAAATATTAAATTGAAGTAAGAAATCATTTAGATATTTATGTATTGTTGCGTAAAACTAATTTTGGTTTCAGTATTTTTAAACTAATGAATTTAATTTGAAAATATTGATTCATTTATCTTTATTTATAAAGATAGAGTATCTTTTACTAGAAGAGCAATACTATACTAATTTATATTGCACCATTGGAGAACAAATTGACATTCTAAAAAAAGAATTTGTTAGAATTTTATATAATGCGGTTAGAATTTATAATCAGTAAAAAAGAAGTAAATGAGTTTAACTTTTATTTTAAAAAACTATACTGATTGTTCTCGTCTGAATTTTATATAACAGTTTTATTTGATTGTGTCAAGTGAGATATGATAACGAAACATGTTATTTGGTATACAATGCATAACACATTATCAAAATACATAACGTGTATAAATTTTCGTGTTCTACACAGGTTGAAGGAAGTTGTCATGAGATTGAGAAAAAAAAGTTTCATCAAAGTGTACAATTCAAAGTTTTTCTGCATTTCATTCGAAGAAGAACAAAAGGCATAAGAAGTTGAGAATGAAGAGAAAAAGAACAAGTGAAAGTGGTGAAAGAGGTGAAAGAAAGGAAGAAGATAGACTCAGTGATTTACCTTATGAAAGAAAGGAAGAAGACAAACTGAGTGATTTACCAGATGAAGTTCTTCAACACATGATGGAGTTTTTGCCAACAACACAAGCTATTAAAACTTGTGTGTTATCTAAACGATGGAAGAACCTTTGGAAAGGCCTCACCACTCTAACTTTCAAACCATTCAAAGGAATTCGCAAATACAACAGATATGTAGTGAATCATGTTCTCTCTCATCGAGATGATTCTATTTCCCTTCACAAGATGTCTTTGACACTTTATAATTCCACTAAAGTCCTCAACAATGCCATCAAATACGCCTCACAACACCATCTTCAGGAGTTGCAACTCTTGATTATGGAGTTCAAACAAACACCCAATTCTTTCATTCCCCTTTTTATCAATTGCAAATCCTTAACCCTTCTTGTCATTTTCTCCAATTCCAATTCTGCCCCCTTGACACTTCCACCATCTTTTGCGATACCATCTTTGAAAAATTTGTTTCTCTTCAATGTCATTTTCACAGCAAAAGATGACAATAACTGCGTTGAACCCTTCTCAGAGTGCACTTCGTTGATATCTTTGGTCCTTGAACGTTCCATGCATACTCATTCAACAAAAACTCTGTGTATATCAAACCCTAGCCTTTCTGTTTTGAATATGAAAAACATACTTTATTGGCACGATTTAGAACCTGAAATTGTGCTTTTTGTTCCTAAACTCAAATCGATCACATTCGAGAATGATCGTTTTTCCATGCGCTATAGATTCTCTTGCACTTGCGATCTCCCTCTCCTTACCCGAGTAAAAATCAGCAATCATGTTTATGTAGATCCTTCCATCATCGTAAATTGGTTACGAATCTTCTCCAACGTAAGAAAGTTGACAATTTGTTCTCGTACCCTAAATATGCTTAAGGTGAGATTTTTTTTACTTTCATTATTATCTTTATCAATGTTGAAAGAATCTTTCTGCTAAGAATTTCTAATTTCCTCTCTAATTATACAGGATATATGTCCGGATACATTGGAAATTCAACCTCCTCGCTTTGCTAGATTGAGATCATTGAAAATCAAAATGCATTCTAGAATGGTGATGTCTAAAACTGAATTAAACATGATAGTGAGTTACTTGTGGAATTGTCAAACAACAAATGTTAAGGTGATAGAGTGCCAAAAGTCATGACCATGTCCTCCTTATGCTTTCTTTGTAGTTTTACATTGTAATTGTCTTAACTATGGTGCTTTGTTGCTTGCCTTTGAAAGATGATAAATTTCAAGAAACTATCACTCTTGAAGAATGCATTTGAAAGAGATTTGTATTTAAGTTTTTAGGTACATTTTTTGTGTGAATTTTTGTTTTGAAATATTATGTTTGTTGGAACCTATGTATAGAGATGAGAAAATTTTAAATACGTGAAATATTATGTTCTTGAAAGATGCTGAAAACTGAATGCAATATTTCAACAACTAAAAAAAATAGAAACAAATTTATTGGTAAGATAGGAAATATAACTAAGCACATGATTGTGAATTTGAAATATGAATTTGTGCAATAAATCCCGTTTCTTGTGGTAATTTTCTAATCATTTTCCAACTAACCTATCAATGGTTTTGATTCGATTAAAGCAGTTGTCGTAAGACCCAGAAAATATATATACATTTATAATAATAATAATAATAATGCTTTCAAATTCAGTATAATAAACTAATTGGGGAAATTCTATTAATATTATAAGAGTTAATTTATAATTAAATAGGATTGTGGGTGAAATCGTTAGAACTTAAGTAATAGGTTCAACTTTTATTCAAATACTTTTTATTAAAGATTTATCAAGGATTAAAACTACCAATTGGTTATGTAATTTAATGTAATTTACCTTTTTTGTTTTGAAAGCGTTAGACATCGCCTAGTTTTTATCCATAAATTATTTTAGTAAAATGATTATATCTTATTAACTGTTGAATTTATCTAGAAATTTTAGACATATATATTTCCTAAGATATGGGTTTTATTTTTGCTGGTTGAGATTTGGAATCTGAAGTTTATAGTTAAAGCATTTTACATATATTATAATAATAATAATAATAATACTTTCAAATTCAGTGAAATAAACTAACTGAGGAAATAGGATTAAAGTTGAGTTCGTTAGAACTTTTTAGCAAACAGATGTAATAGGATAACTTTCATTAAAATACTTTTTATTAAAGATTTAATAAGGATTAAAACTACCAATTGGTTATATAGCTCAATTTATAAAAATATAAGAATGATTAAGGGTTCTTGGTTCAACTTTGAAATAGTGTAAATATTGAATTATTTATATAAAATAGAATTATTCC